TCCTATTCTTCTATCAGACGTGCCTCTGACAAGCCTAATTAAAATAGGAAAATTGTCAATTCGCTTACATGGATACCAGACTGCCAGTTGAAGAGTCGCCATATGATGCAAGGCAGGTTGAAGAGAAAGGCCTGAATCATGAAGATGAACGGCACCCACTGGTAGTAGAGAATCTTGCGCTCTTCCCGTTCATTCACGTCAGGAGGGACAATGTGCTCTCTGGTTGGGAGGAAGTAGGTGTTGGTCACCCAACACACCGACTCGGCATACTCCTCTTGGGCACGAGTGAACTCTGTCGGCACCCAGCATGCGATCGGCTTGCCGATGTACTGTCGGGCCGAGATGACCAGTGTGAAGATCACCAACAACAGAGTGGTGAAGGTGTGGCTGAATCTGTCGGAGAAGTCGTCGTCACGGCGAAACTTGCCGGCGTCGAGTTTGAACTTTGTCAACCCGGCAAAGAAGTGCGAGTCCATCGTGGCTTAACCGCGACGATCGGGCGGTGTTCTGCAGGAGCCGATGAAAAGGGTCCCGCGAGACTGACAGACATGCGGGCAGACGGCCACAAGGACTGGAGTCTGTTCAAAGCCCACTCGCCCAGCCGGTCAGGCGGCCGGGGCTCGGAGCCAGCCTTACTGGCTGAGTAGAGAAAACGATGGTCGGAACGGATCGTCTCAAGTCGCCTCTGGTTGTGCAACCGCTGAAACGTAACAAGTGCTGTTCGGTTTACCAAATTTTTAGCATTTTTGCAAACACCCCCTCGTGGAAGTACACCTCAGCATTACCGAATGTCTGTTGCGATGCTCCACCCCCCATGTGGTACCAGTGACCCTTTCTCTTTCTCATGCTCATTCAGTAGGGCAGTCGCATCCAACGACTCTCGACGAGCAAGCAGAGTCTTGAGTCCGTCCCCCTTGGAAGACGGCATCTGGAAGTACTAAAGGCCTAGAAAAGACGGGATTTGTCCATCGTACTGAAAAAGGTATACTCCAGAGTCGACTAAATCCTAGAAAAAATGTAATAGGCCAAAGTTTGAAGAGACTATGGTGGCGCCGGCCATTGTAATCCTGGAAAGCACAACAACTCAGCCTGACTCATGAGCTCCGGCTTGTAGTTCTAGTGTCGGTGTGTCGAGGGTGCATGAATTGGGAGAGCATCCGCGTAAAAGTGGGAATCTAACCTATTCAGGCCCATTCCCCTACATCTGGCCTACCTACCCCCCTACGGCAGTGGATTTGTCCGTCGGTCTCAAGCTTCATCCGACATCCTGACTATGCGTCTACATGCCATCGTGCCTGTCAATCTCTTCGTCTTCTCTTTCTCCACATCTCTCCGTGCCCATTCAGTGTTATGCCAACCTCTGCCTCTCTCCATGTCCGACGGTCTCGCCCTGCGCCAGTGGCTCTCTTCTTGGGCAATGTCTTGCCTAATAGACCTTCTAAATAGGCGAATTCAGTACGTCCAATAAGAATGCAGAACAAATCAGCTACCCACATTTCCGAACTGGTGCACACATGCTCTGAAGTCCTGGCATGATTAGGGCCAATATGAGCCGGACATTTGAGTCCAGTAGCAGTTCGGTAGTCCCCTGGACGCGCATCAACCGCATTCGACCCCGAGAAACTGGGACATCTGTGGAGCTCACATAGAAGACTCCCAGTACCAATCCAATCCAGATTAAGTGGCCACGGTGTATGGACAAATGTGAAAAGAGAGTGAATTTTCATTTCTTTCATTTCCAATTGCATCCCCTTTTGCTAGCCACACCGAGACGCGAGAGGAGACCAACTTGATGTCATGACGACTAACCCGAGCCAAGAGTTTTTGGAGCTCTCTACTGAGGTTTCGATGAAATATGCGATAGAGATTGTAATAATATTAAGAGAGAGAGAGAGATCTTCATTAATTCGCTGTTCATGAAGCACACGAAAGCACATTAGGAGGGTTCGAGCCAGAGAAGACCAACAGCTGCCCATGACCAACGGAGGCTTCTAGCGCCAATCCAATCCATAGTAGATTGGTCCACTATATAGCTAGACATGAAGAGAAGATTGATTTTAAAGCATAGTGACATAGCTTCATATAAGGCCGTGTGGAGCTAGCAACATTCGATGTGAACTTGTCAATATTCTGGATTTCTCCGCCTCGAACTATTTGATGAGCCTTGATAGCTATATTGAGATTCGAGTTGGTAGCTCTTTATTTTCGTGAGATTCCGACCAAACTAGGCTTCATAGGGCTCAATCGAAATCTCAGGACGGTGCACCGAGGATTTATTTGCTCATATTAGCTGTTGACCTTCCTTCTAGTTGCGAGGACGTCAATTTTTACGTTTTTCTTCATTGTAACCTTAAAGAGAAGTGTACACTTTCTAACCTAGCAGGCATCAATGATATTACAAGTGGACAGTGGAATGTGTCTGGAGAACACAAATTAGCTGGTCACTATCAGAACAGTTGATCCAGTTCTTTTATTGAAGCCATATCGATGACGGGATAGCCTTCATTTGGTATTGTTTCAGCAGCCCAACCAAGTTGACTTGAACTTCACATTGAGCGAAAGTGTGTTATAAAACAAGAAGACGACAGTGGATTCCTCACAAGGTCTGTTGTTTTTTTGTCCTAATGAGGTGAACGGAGGACGTATAACTCTCAAAACTTCGGAAAACTTCGTATGTAAAAACTGACAACAAAATTTTTTTAAAAACGACTGGCTCATCTTTAATTATTATACATATATATATATATATTTAAAAAATATTTATTTATACACACTTATTAATTGCTCAACAGCAACTATAAGAAGATTTTGTTATTCCCTTACGATATCTACCTGCATTTATGTGCGTGTGCGTGATGGATGTCTTAAAATACAAATCCAAAATGCTAACCCCATCACTGATGATGCCGACTACGATGCTGGCGAAACGTTTGGGAATGTACCACGTCTACGGTTCAACTTTGGAAATGATTATGCAGACAATGGACCCCGGACTAGGTGCGTTCCAATAAGTCTTCCTACCAATAGGACCATGTCGCGAAAACAAGGTCAAACAACCTCTAATCAAATGTTAAGGTTATATAAGTTTTCTAAGAATATATCTTTTACTAACAGAGGCTTATCACTAGGAGTACTCAATACAGGACACTTGTTGGGCTCGTTTGACTGGCAGGGAAAGCCTACCCAGTTGGAAGTGGTGACAACTTGTTCATGTTGTTAGGGTGAACCAGATGATCATGCCCTGTCTGGGAACTTCTGTCATTGTAGTCATGATCCTTTCCAGAGTCTGACCGTGAACTTTTTGCATTCAATGCTAATTGTCACGTCATCTTAGTCTTTATAACTGCGATTCAATCAACCAGTTAGTTTACCTATAATGCTGCAAGCTCGAGACCTTTAAAAGAATATGTCCCTATGAAGAGAAGCTGGGCTCCGAAAAATCTCTTAGTAGATTGGTACTGGCATACCTTTCACTTCGTTTGCAAAGTCGAGTGGAAGGGATTTGTATATTAGCCCCACCGGATACCGAAGAGGGTTGCATTTGACTTTTGTCTGTTGAATTGTACGAAAAAGACCTCGACTACAACGGCTATGACGATGCTCGTCACACGACGGACGAAAGCTCATCACGGAGTTGTGGGGTCGTAGGACGGTGAGCCGAGGTCTTCTTCGCACAATTCAACAGACAAAAGGTCAAGGCAACCCTCTTTCGGTATCCGGTGGGGCCACGAATCCCTTCCAACCGCCTCCTAGAATGGTATAAAAGTTATACCACTATCAATATGTCCCTATAGCAAAAATATCCGTCGAGATGGATAATAGATAAAATGTTGGCACATTTTTCCCTGAAGTGAGGCTTCTTCAGCCTGGACGTCGCATTAAAACCGAAAGACTGCAGTGCTTTTGAAGAATCAGCTGTAGTCTTCTGGCAAGATCTACCCGCCAATCTCTTTTGCTAGGAATGGAAGTCAAGTCCACAATGATATACAAATAAATACCTCCATAACCAGTCTCTCTTCATAGATATTCTAAGAATAGTCTTAAAATAATTGTGATTTGGTATTACGCATCTAAAAAATGTGGACTCCTCCAGAACTTGAGGGAAGCTTCAACCTCTTTTGGTGTTTATCAACATTTCGGCCCACAACCATCAAATAAAGCCTCGACGACCAGCAGAAGGTATCTTAATTTCGAGAACATTCTTAGATTTATTTCAACTTTGCCATACTTATTACGTGGACGCTAGAAATTTGGTATAAAATCTCCTTTGCTCGTCCATAACACATCATGCTTTTTCGTGGCTGTCTCATAACCTATGCAGACTTTTCTATCCAACATTAAGTCCAAAGTTGACATTTACTCAATTATATCTCTCTGTACTCAAATTGAGTAGAGTTTACACCTTCTTGGTAGAAAACTTATCATAACTGCGAGCATCTTGGATCACTTTAAGTGAAGGAAAGTCCGATAATGAGTATTCCCAAAATCAAATAAATAAATGCCTTCGTTTGTAAGTATATTTTTTAGACTATCAGCAAATCAGATAAATGAGATATGTTCACCATATTTTATTTTAGGTGATAAGAGACTGGTGGTTTAAATTTCCCACAATGATATGAGTAGACCTTACGTTTATATTGACTGGACTGCAGTTCAGTCTGGAAATGGAAGACTTAAGGAAGGCTGGTTTAAGCAAAATTCATAATTTCGGGAGGCCTTTTAGCCGCTGCTTTGCGAGAGGTTAAGTTATGCGATCTTGCATCGTCCAAAGCTACCATTGGTGACATCATTCCTTATAGTTGCTAAGTGTTTATGGCAATAGATCGTGATTGCTTGAAGCAAGCCGTCTGGTCAGGCTGTTTCAGCATGTGCCTTGTTGTCAAGCCCTGAACTTAGGGCAGTGAATTACAGGATCTTGGCTTTTCTGGGTTCAATTATCTTTTTTCTTCTACTCTCCATTTTCTCGGTATTTTTTTAATGTAGCCAATCATTTTTATGTGAATAAGCGCGTCTGAATAGTCTGTCTCAGTTCATTGTGATCAAAAGTAGGTTATAAATTGTTATTGGACATCTCCCAAATTATCCATAGGGTAATCAATATCCCAATTGACGTGTTTTTTTGCCTTTACGCGACATTCACAACGGGGACGTTTGTCAAATGTTCATAAGGAGGGTTTAGGAATCTATTCTTGTAAGGCCCGAACATTACCAGTACCCTTACTCAACCAATCTGTAAGCTTTGCGGTAGCATTTAGTTGACTCATAACAGATGTACCTTCTTGTATGAGCCGTATTGGCAGCAAGGATAAAATTATGCATTACCTTCGTATGAATATCGTTTTTTACAAAATACTAACTAACCATATAAATTATTATTCATTTTTAAGTAGGGCTTCGAGAATACTAGCAAATCAGTCATATGAGATGTATTCACCCTACTTATTTTAAGTTGATGAAAGACTGGCAATAGAATTCTCCCACAATGGGATAAATAGAGCTGACATTTCCACTGAATTTCTCAAAAGGTTTTCTCCTTCAGGTTGGACTGCATACTACT